CGACAAAGGAGATTAATCAGAACTGACTTTGACAAGCACTGTGGCAACTGGACAATTAAAACAGACATTCGGATGGTGGGGAAGAAGAACAAACTGGGGAGGAGGGTGGAGAGAATGGTGCGGCAATGAAGGAGTGAAAGCCCAGAATCCCTGTGAATGTTCATTGAAACTAATAAAATTTAATAATTAAAAAAAAACAGTACCTTAGCCATCAACAGTCCTTAGCCATCAATAGTCCTTAGCCATCAGCAGTCCTTAGCCATCAACAGTCCTTAGCCATCAACAGTCCTTAGCCATCAACAGTACCTTAGCCATCCTTCAAGCTTGGAATGGCGCTCTCCCCCAAAGATTCACCCCTTAGCCAAACAACAGACAGGACTACAAGGTAACGCCAGGGAGGCCTGCATTCCTTTGGACCATCAACTGTACAGGTCAAAAGAGTAGCATTTGCCAAGGGAGAAAAATATCAAAACACAAGAAGGACAAACAGAGATGGGAAACACAGGGAAGAGATAGGAGGAGTGCTGTGACACTGTGGGGACTGCAATCGATGTTTCAAAACAAAATGTGTGGCAACTGCTGCATGGAAAACCAGTCTATTCTGTAAACTTTTACCCAAATCACAATTCAAAAGGTTTTTTGCTATGCAGAGGGTGAGAAATGCGGCTGACAAAGTCGTGATGTGTCAGCTCAGGACGTGGCATTCACATCCCACACTGGCCACGTTTTCAGGAGACTCGCCAGGCATGGGTCATCTCTGCCCTGCCGGTGCTGGCGCTGGGCAGATCCTGGCTCATGGCCGTGCTGTCGGGGGACAGCTGCCCTGTGAGGTCTCCGAGGCCAGGACTTTTTCAGAAGCAGATGACGAGGCTGCTGGCTGGGCTCAGCCTGCCCACCGCTGGCCTGGTAGCTGGATGCTTGTTCAGGTGTAGCGCACCTTGCAGTACACACTCCTAGCTTGGAGACGACCGGACTACAGGACCAAGAGTGCCACAGTACAGGGCTCAGTGGCTCAACAACACTAAGGGTCCTGTACCAGCGGAGAGGACGCCAGCCCAGCCGGCCCACAACACTAGCCAAAGCCACTGCCATCGAGTCAATTCCGGTTCACAGCAACCCTCCATCAAGTCTCCAGGACTGGAATCGTCATGGATGGAGACCGCTCAGCTTTCTCTTCCAAGTGGCTGGTGGATTCAAACCATCAACCTTCCCGTTTACATCAGAAAGCACAACAGCAAAGGGCTATAAAAGCCAGAGCTTTCAGGACACGACAATGAGACAGTGAGAGACAGAATGATGGGCCAGCAGCCACGTGGGGGTTCCCATCATGGCCCCAACCTGACCCAACACCACCACAGGCTGCCACCAAAGCCAGCTCTACCTCAACAGGTTATACCTGTGCCTGCTGGAGGCACGGACATGCAGGACCTTCTAGAGCCAGCAGGCTGCCCAGGGTCCACGCCCGAGTCAGTCCTGGCAGCACTCACAGCCCCCTCAGGACAGGCGGACACAGCAGACCCAGGTCTCAAATGTACAGAGCTGAGCCCGCTGCTGCCATAGCAGCATTCACTGCCGTTCCAGGCTGGGCCAATGGCTCCCTCTTTTGGCCACAAGGTGCCACAGCGATTCAGTGGCCGGTCCTCCCAGCCTCACAGCCCCAGCGAACTGGTACCCTCGACACAGGGCATCACCAGTCTGAACAAGTGCAGGGATGGAGATCATAACGCGAAAGGGCTGGTGAGGTCATGGCCTGCACTCAGCCACCACGAGGAAGCAGCCCCCGTGACCGCCGGGCCCCAGCTCCACACCCTGACCGACCCACCGTTACACAGACTTGAGGGGCGAGGTGAAGTGGAGGATGCATGATCCTCGCCGCCCCCGACCATGCGCCGGCCAGATCAGTGCTGAAATGGGCTACTTTCCGGTAACACCCATCGATTCAACTCGTTTCAAAGCACCCTACTCCCCAAGCTCTCTGTAGTTCAGAAAACACTGGGAGAAGAGTCCAGATACACTTGCAAATAAGACTGAGGGTGGCGTGCAATGTCCACTGAGCACCTAAAGGGTGCCAAGGAGCCTGGTGGCACAGGGTTATGCACTTCGCTGCTATCTGAAAGGTTAACAGTTCAAACCCACTAGCTGCTCTGCAGAAAGACGAGGCCGTCTGAGGAGAACAGACTTGAAACGTTCGGGATGCTCCACCCTGTCCGGCAGGGCCAGATGCAGACGGCAGTGGGCAGCCGTGGGCAGCCGTGGGCAGCAGTGGGCAGCCGTGGGCAGCAGTGGGCAGCTGTGGGCGGCAGTGGGTGGCCATGGGCGGCATTGGGCAGCCATGGGCAGCAGTGAGCGGCAGTGTCCTGGGTTTCACTTGCCCAGCTGGGGGCCTGGCTAAGCCCACAGGTGTTCAGAGAGCATTGTCTCCACATGATCACATGAGCAGGTGGGCTCCTCTCCCCCTTAAGGACGCAACAATGAGGCGGAGGTGGGTGGCTCCAAGCAGCGGCCAGTCGGTGGGTCTGGACCAGGGGCCCAGTGCCATTCCAGCCATCTTCTATGGCATTAGTACTTATTTCACAGATTGTGTACTGGGGGCTATGCTGGAAGCTGAGGGGACAGGGGCTCAGCCCACAGGCTGGAGGGGCGGCAGACAGGTCTACAGGGGACACTACGCCTGGTAGGCTGTGCCCCTCATAGCTACTGGTGGAAAAGCTCGCACGGCTGTAAAAAGTGAGTAAAGCACCTTTCCTCTGTGTGTTTCCAGAGAGCAAAAACCCCAACACGGCCCACAGGCTCCAGCACAGAGCAGCACATGCAGGACGACACCAAGCGACACCACGGCCCGCTCCCATTGCCCGATGCCCACTGTCCACACTCCACTGTGAACCGCTGACATTCTTCCCCCGCTATTGCCTCCCTCTGGAAGCCCCTGCTGGGTGGCCCCAGGGAACAAGTGCCCCTCCCATGAGGTGTCAAGGGACAAGTGTCCCCCGCGGGATGCCAGGCACCTGTGGGACCACATGGAGACAGTGGGTTTAGTGCTCCTGGGTTCTCGGGGGTCATTGCCTTTGACTCCCCACGGGGCTGGGTGATGGTGGCATCAAGCGCTGACTAGGACCCCAAGCGCCCTGTGAAGATCTGATCGGCACCCTGCCCTGTCCTGCGCCGTCCTCATCCTCTCTAACACACGTGAGCCCACTGTCACAGTCACGGGGTCAGTCCATCTCGTGGGGGCTCCTCCTCTCTTCCCCAGACCCTCCACCTGTCCAAGCATGATGTCTTTCTTCAGGGACTGGCCCCTCCTGCCAACATGCCCCATGTACGTGGACAAAGTCTCCACACCCGTGCCTCTTAGGAGCGTCCTGGTTGCACGTTCAGCCGGCGGAAACGGGCAAGTTGAATGTGAAGACATTAACATTGGGGACAGTGTTGCCAACCCTCCAGGATTAAACAGGTTTTCAGGCAGAAGCTGGCAGTCCTGTTTCCAACCTGAACTGGACCTGCTAAACTCGCCTAATGAACCCCACAATTGTGAGGATGGACCATATGGCCACTGTAATGGGTGAGCAGAGCCAGGAGCAGGCCGGAAGAGCCTGGAGGGGTGGCCGGTGCAAGACCTAGTAGGAGCAGGTTTTGGGGGGGATGTGTGTGAACTCTACGGGGTCGCCTGTGGGCTGTGGAGGTTGTTGGTGAAGATTTGTCTCCCTGTGGAGGTCTCCTGGTTGTCCCCATGCTGGCCGCACTCTTTATACACCTGGGGGTCCGCTCTGGTCCCCACGGGTCCTGCCCTCACAGCACTGAGCCCAGGGTTACACACACCCCTCTCCCACCGCACAGTCCCCAAAGCCAGGGCCACGCTCTTCCCCTCTGCAGCCCGCGTGTACAGCACTGCCGCTGGCATCGTGCATCCACGTCCCAGGCCTGCTTCTCTGCTCCCTCTGGTCACTCTCCCGCAGTGACTTGGCCTCCATTACTGCCCTCAACACCCCTATCGTGACCTCTGATGACCTGGCCAAGGCAGCTCCAGGGAGGACACCAAGGAGCTGGATGGATCACGCTCAGGAGTGACCAGAGACACCATTCTCAAATGTAACCAGTGACAACATCTCCAAGAAGCCTGCCCGGCCGGGAGACCCCCACACACACACCTCTCCGAACACACCTGCCGTCAAGCGTCCACCCCCAGCCTACCTTGAGGGTCTTGTCCATCGATGCTGAGAGAAGCAGGTGGCTGTGGGCGAGGACGGGACACCACTGGACACAGTTGACGGGGCCGCCATGGCCCTGCAGGTGGAAGCGCACATTCCTGGGGACCTTGGTCTCCTGGTACGGACTGTCCAAGTGTGGCCGAATGCTCTCGGACACTCTGGGGGCCAGGCGGCTCTGGGCTGGGCCTAGGGCACAGCCCAGGGAGGGGTCCTGGGGTTCCACCCCCGAGCCGGCACCTGTGTCTGTGCCCTTGGCCGCTGACACCCGCAGTCTCTTCGGGGTGTAGGGTATGACACAGTCCTGCCTTCTCTTCAGCGAGGAGCTGCCATTTCTCTCTGTGACCTCAGACTTGCCTTGCGTGCAGAAGGCAGGCTCTGGGCGGTAGCAGGCTTCCCAGCTGCGTTTTGGTTCCTTGAAGCAGGCAGCTGCCAGAGGCACATGGCCAGTAGGAGTGTGGCTGGTCCATAACGCAGGGCAAGGAGGCTCCCTGGGTGGGCAGGTGACCGCAGGCTCCTTCCGGGGCCACTGCAGCCTCTGGCTGGGACAAGCCCTCTGGTCACTCCTCCCAAGGGGAAGGAGGGGGAGGCGGTGGGTGGCCACGCCTTCCCAGAGGCTGCCTGGAGCCCCAAGTCTGTGCTTTATGGGTTCTGGGGTCCCCTCGGTCACCGCTCCACAAGCGTCCTTCACCTGGCCGGCAGCACTGAGACCTTCCAGAGGCTCAGGCTCAGCATCCGAGTCCGAATCATCGTAAGCCACCAGGGAAGCCATTCAGGACCTGGCCTGTCGCTGTCCTTCCAGGGCCGTCTGTCTGCCTAAGACCAAATGAAGCCAAGTGTCAGCAAACATGTGCAAAGGACATTTCCCTGAATGCAAAGGAAACCCGCTGACGTCCAGTCAACTCCGACCCACAACGACCCCCTATCGGGCGTCCACGTAACGGAGGACACTGCTCCAGCTTCCTCCCACACAGCAGCTGGTGGATTCAGACTCCCAACCTTTCAGTCAGCAGCGCAACACATAACGAACTGTGCCACCAGGGTTCCTTAAAGAAAGCATATCATTTAGAAAGTCCAAGCTTTAAATATCCACAAGACAAACAAAAAACAGCACTTGTCTATATACCAGGTAGCATTACAAGAAAAGGCGAGTCACAGAACGAAGACTTGGGTATAAATCAAACAAGAAACAGGCAAGGCCTCCCGGATGTGCACTCCACACGAAACCAGGGCCTGACAGGGAAGACTGGCTCGAGCAGTGAGCGCTCGTCAAACATCTCTGTCCAGTCACACGCACAAGAGCAACTCCAGCAAGTGGACAGAAAGGGTGAGGGATGAGTGTGTCCTCCGTGAGGAGCAGCGGAGGGCAGCGGACAGCAGCGGAGAACACCAGACAGAAAAGGTGAGGGATGAGTGTGTCAGTGGACGGCAGCGGATGGCAGCAGACGTCTAGTCAGCGCCACTGGACAGTTCATGGGGAACTGTGGGGCTGGGATATATTCTGCTGGGTGTATTCCCAACAACAGAAATATAATATCGAAAGAAGGAAGCTAGACCTACACGAAGAAAAGGAACATTTCATTCAGGGACATAAAGGCAGGCTTGACAAAAAGGAGAGACAGGGCAGGACCAGAAAGGGCGAGCTCTGGAAGAGCGCTCTGGACGGTGAGTCAGCAGCATCCGTTAAGACACAGGCACTGCGGGCACTGCGGGCACTGCGGGCAGCGTGCGGGCAGCTAACATCCATACACAGACAAGGAAGTCCAGCAAACTCCACTATCATTCAAATATATGCACCAACAACCAGAGCCAAGGAAGAGGAGATAGAAGATTTCTACTTTTGCAGTCAGAAATCGACTGAACATGCAATCAAGATGCATTAATAATAATGGGTGACTGGAATGCAAAAGTGGGGAACAGGGAAGAAGGATCAGCAGTCAGAAAATATGGACGGGTGACAGAAATGAGGCTGGAGACAAAATGATAGAATTCTGTACAATCAAGGATTTATTCATTGCAAATATCTTTTATAAATGCAAACTATGCACATGGCTTTCACCGGATGGTATGCTCAGGAATCAGATCAATTACATGTGTGGAAAGAATCGCTGGAGAAGCTCAGTATCAGCTGTGAAAACTAGGCCAGGTGCTGATTGTGGAGCAGACCATCAACTGCGCACATGCAAGTTCAAATTAAAGCTAAAGAATATTAAATCAGAGAGCTCTGGTGGCCTAGGGGCAAGAAGCCATCAACTGCGCACATGCAAGTTCAAATTAAAGCTAAAGAATATTAAATCAGAGAGCTCTGGTGGCCTAGGGGCAAGAAGCTGTGCTGCCATCCCCAAGGTATGCGGTTCAAATCCACCAGCTGCTCCACTGTAGAAGGAGAGGTAATCTCCTCCTGTGCCAGTCAGAACCGATTCGACGGTCCACAGCAAGGGGGGGGAGGGGAAAGTCTAAAAAAATATTAAATCAAATAGAAACCAAAATTTGACCTTGAGTCTATCCCACCTACATTTTAAAACCATCTCAGGAGCAGGTTTGAGGCCCTGAACACTAATGAGCGAAGACCAAATGAGCTGTGGGAGGATATCAAGAATATTGTTCATGAAGAATGCAAACGGCAATTACAAAGCCAGAGAAGGAAGGAAAGACTGAGATGGGTGTCAGAAGAGACTCTGAATATTGCACTAGAGCGCCTAGAAGCCAAAGCAAAGGGAAGAAATCAAGATGTGAAGGAGCTGAACAGATTTCAAAGAGCAGTGCAGGAAGTCAAAGTAAAGTATTTTCATGAAATATGCAAGGAGCTGGAGTCAGAAAATCAAAAGGTCTGAACTCGCTCTGCAATTCTTTTTTTTAATATATATCAATCCAACTATTAATTTTAATAAAAGTTTACAGAGACTTTGGATTTCCACTCATTCATTGTTACACTTTTCTCCCGGCCCAACTTCCTCCCAGTTCACTCTTCTCTTTGAAAAGTAAAAGAAAAATTCTTTCATTGTTATACAATGCCTCCCCCCAAGTCTACTCCACTAAGCAGCCTTCGTTTTGAAAAGTAAAAGAAAAATTCTCTCATTGTTACACAATCCCTCCCCTCAAGTCCACTCCACTACACAGCATTTGTTCTGGACTCCTGTCATGATAATAATACCTAATCATATATCCCTTTTGGCATTTCTTAAGCTGAAGGAACTGAAGGACAAATCCAAGCCTTAAGTTGCAGTACTTAAGGATGCTTTGTTTGGCCCAGCAATTCCACTACTGGGAATATACCCTAAAGAGACCATAACTGACATTCAAGCAGATATATGCACACCCATGTTTGTCACGGCTTTGTTCACAATAGCAAGGAGTTGGAAACAACCTAAGTGCCCATCAACAAATGAATGGAAAGAGAAGCTGTGGTATATTCACACAATGGAATACTATGCTGCATTGAAAAACAAGGAACTCATGGAATATAATTCAAAATGGGTGACTCTGGAGGACATAATGCTGAGTGAAGTATCTCGGTCACAAAAGGACAAATACTGCATGGTGCCACTGTTGTAGAATGGGACTGACATCAGGGTTGGGGTAAGACTGAGAAAAACTGAATAAATTATGTATAATGCATTGAAACATTGAAGCCTTAAATATGGATTGAAGTTCAACATTAAGAAAACAAAGATTCTCGCACTGGGCCAACTGGCAGCATCATGATAGATGGTGAAGAGACTGAGAGTTTTTAACAGCTTCAGCTTGCTTGGCTCCATAAATCAACACTGTTGGTACCAGCAGTCAGGAAATCAACAGATGAGTTGCATTGAGAAAATCTGCTGTCAGGGACCTCACTAGAGAACTGAAGAGCAATGATGACAGTCTAGAGACTAAGGTGCACCTTATGCAGGCCATGGTCTTCTCAATTACTCGCTATGTATCAGAGAGCTGGACAAAGACTAAGGATGACAGAAGAATAATTAATGCCTTTAAGTTGTGGTGCTGGAGAAGAGTATTGGCTATAACATAGACCACCAAGAGAACAAACAGGTTTATCCTGAAGAGGGTGAAACCAGGCTGCTCCTTGGAAGCAAGGATTTTAAAACTCCATCTCACACACTTTGGTTATGTTGCAAGGAGCAACCAGTCCTTGGAGAGGGACATCATGTTTGGAAGAGTCGAGGGACAGCACAAGACAAGAGGAAGACCTTGGATGAGATGGATTGATTCAGTGACTGGGGTAATGGTGGTAGATGTGTCAGAGACAGTAACATTGGCTCAGGATATAGAGCAGGGTTCAGAGCTGCTGTACATGGGGTCCCTATGAGTCACAGGCAACTCCACACACAAAACATCAACAACATTAACCTAAAGCTCAGTGGTTTGAGGTCACTCAGAGGTGGCAAGGAAGACTGGTCTGGAAACTGGTCTCTATTTGCCTGGAGTAAGAGAGGCAGAGCCAGGAACAGGAAGAGGATATAGAAACTGTGGCTAACTGTATCCGGGAGCTAAGGCCCCCTCTGCTGTTAGACCAGGAGGACTGGATGGTGACAGCTGCTATCACAGGATGCCTTCATCAACGAGTCTACAGAAGAAACTTGTGGAAGAGAGGAAGACGTGGAACAGAACTTCAGGTTCTCTTGCACTCCAGACTGTTTGAAGCCAATGACAAGGATGAATCCCCAAGACAATTGCCCTTGAATCACCTTTAAGCCTAAACCAGAATTAAGTCCTGAACCTCCAAACAACAAAGTTTAGTTAAGCTCAGGAACGCCTGCCATATGCAGCAAAAATAGCAACGTTCAACAGAGCAGCAAACAACAAATGCCGGTGAGGTTGTGGCGAGATTAGAACTCGTTAAAAAAAATAATAATAATAAATTTTATTTTATGCTGGTTTACTTACAAAATTCTTTTTTTTTTTTTTACTTACAAAATTCTTATACATTGTTTTTCACACCAGATCTTTCCCATTTCTTTCACCCACCCCTCCCTCTACCCATCAATCTGTGCGACCCTGAATACCTCCATGCCCACCCTCATTCCTGTACTCACACCCTTCCACTCCTTGGATCCTCATACACATTTTACTAGTTATCTTTCTATTTAAACAATAATGGTCTTACACAGAACCTCCCAAGTTAGATAGTAATTTTGAAAATCGTGCTGCATAGTATTCCATTGTGTGAATATACCATAATTTCTCAATCCATTCGATCGTGGCTGGACATCTGGACTGTTATATGATCTTGTGAGGGTGAATAATGCTGCTATGAG